TTGCTTTTCAGTTTTTGAAGTTTATATTGACATATTTTCAAGCTCAGAGAGTCTCTCATTAGCCACTCAGCCATATCCAATCTACTAAATGAGCCCTTAAAAGGCATTCATCAATTCTGTGATAGTATTTTGTATCTCTAACATCTCTTTTTTATTTCTATCTCTCTGCCTTATACTATCCATCTGTTCTTGTTTGTGATTTACTTTTTTTTCATTCAGTTGATTAGCATGTAAACCTTAGATGTTTTAAATTTCTAGTCTGGTATTTTCAATATCTTTGCAAAGGCTGATTCTGGTTCTTATGCTTACTCTGTGTTTTTGTCTTTTAGTGTAGTATGTCTTGTAATTTTTTGTTGAAAGACAGACATGATGTACTTGTGAAAGGAACCTGTAAAATAATGGTGTTGTGTAGTGATGAGGTGTGGGTAGAAAGAAGTATTCTACAGTCCTATCATTAAGTCTTAGTCTTTCAATGAGCCTGTGTAGTTGGGTTGTGGATTTCACAAGTATTTCTTAGTTTTCCTACCTCTTAGGTGGGCAAGAGGGTAAGAGTGGTCTAGAGTTGGATATTCCCCTTTCTCTAAATGGAATTGAGGGAGATGGAATTGAGTCTTTCTTTTCCCACCTCAGGTAGACTTTAATAAAACCTCAATCGTTTAGGGTCCATTCAACACTTTCCTTTGAGGACAGGCCTTATTAAGAGCAGAATGCTCTGGTGTATTTCAGAATTATTTATTTCCTCTCTCCTTTTGGAAGCATAAGTGGATTTTTGTCCAGTGTTCACTTTGAGGATGTGTGAGAACTCCTGGGTATTAATCTCATAAAAGCAAGGAGGGTTCCCTTCATTGACTCCTGGAGTTTTTAGTCTCTTGTCAATACAGTTTAGTTCAGTTGCTCACTCGTGTCCGACTCTTTGCCCATGAGCCACAGCACGCTAGGCCTCCCTGTCCATCACTAACTGCCAGAGTCTACCCAACCCATGTCCACTGATGGGTTGCCATCCAACCATCTCATCCTCTGTCATCCCCTTCTCCTCCTGCCCTCAATCTTTCCCAGCATCAGGGTCTTTTCCAGTGAGTCAGCTCTTTGCATCAGGTGGCCAAAGTATTGGAGTTTCAGCTTCAACATCAGATCCTCCAATGAACACCCAGGACTGATCTCCTTTAGTATGGACTGGTTGGATCTCCTTGCAGTCCAAGGGACTCTCAAGAGTCTTCTTCAACACCACAATTCAAAAGCATCAATTCTTCGGTGCTCAGCTTTCTTTATAGTCCAACTGTCACATCTATACATGACTACTGGAAAAACCATAGCCTTGACTAGATGGACCTTTGTTGACAAAGTAATGTCTCTCCTTTTTCACATGCTGTCTGTGTTGGTCATAACTTTCCTTCCAAGGAGTAAGTGTTTTTTAATTTCATGGCTGCAGTCACCATCTGCAGTGATTTTCGAGCCCAGAAAAATAAAGTCAGCCACTGTTTTCACTATTTCCCCTTCTATTTGCCATGAAGTGATGGGACCAGATGCCATGATCTTAGTTTTCTGAATGTTGAGCTTTAAGCCCACTTTTTCACTCTCCTCTTTCACTTTCATCAAGAGGCTCTTTAGTTCTTCCTCACTTTCTGCCATAAGGGTGGTGTCATCTGCATATCTGAGGTTATTGATATTTCTCCCGGCAATCTTGATTCCAGCTTGTGCTTCCTCCAGCCCAGCATTTCATGTGATGTACTCTGCATATAGTAAATAAGCAGGGTGACCATATACAGCCTTGAAGTACTCCTTTTCCTATTTGGAACCAGTCTGTTGTTCCATGTCCAAGGGAACAATTCATGCAAAGATGGGCTCAATAAAGGACAGAAATGGTAGGGACCTAACAGAAGCAAAATATTAAGAATAGGTGGCAAGAATACACAGAAGAACTGTACAAAAAAGATCTTCACAACCCAGATAATCACGATGGTGTGATCACTCACACTCGCATAGAGCCAGACATCCTGGAATGTGAAGTCAAGTGGGTCTTAGGAAGCATCACTACAAACAAAGCTAGTGGAGATGATGGAATTCCAGTTGAGCTATTTCAAATCCTCAAAGATGATGCTGTGCAAGTGCTGCACTCAGTATGCCAGCAAATATGGAAAACTCAGCAGTAGCCACAGGACTGGAAAAGGTCAGTTTTCATTCCAATCCCAAAGAAAGGCAGTGCCAAAGAGTGCTCAAACTGCCGCACAATTGCGGCACTCATCTCACACTAGTAAAGCGTGCTCAAAAGTGAGCTAGTAAAGTAATGCTCAAAATTCTCCAAGTCAGACTTCAGCATTACATGAACCATGAACTTCCAGCTGTTCAAGCTGGTTTTAGAAAAGGCAGAGAAACCAGAGGTCAAATTCCCAACATCTGGTGGATCATCGAGATAGCAAGAGAGTTTCAGAAAACATCTATTTCTGTTTTATTGACTATGCCAAAGCCTTTGATTGTGTGGATCACAATAAACTGTGGAATATTCTGAAGGAGATGGGAATACTAGATCACCTGACCTGCCTGTTGAGAAACCTGTATGCAGGTCAGGAAGCAACAGTTAGAACTGGACATGGAACAATAGACTGGTTCCAAATAGGAAAAGGAGTACATCAAGGCTGTATAATGTCAATACAGAGCCTGTCGTAACTTGTCAGTTATAGGTTTTCCTATTGGGAAACACTGTTTTCTTGAGAGACCTTAGCTGGTTAATTTCTATTCCCATAAGTTCTAAATCTCTGTATCTGCCTACCTGTTTCTGTTTGGGGGTATTGGTTCTCCCTGTGACCTCCCTTCTTTGATGGATCTAAGAAGACTTGTTGATTTTTCCATTAATTGTCCTGCTTTTACTTGCTAAGATGGTATGACAACTTCCAAGCTCCTTACATGCTGTACTGAAACCAGAAGCACTCTCACTTACTTTTTGAAGAGACATTCTGTTTTGAGTTGTTAATTCAACTAGATATTTGCTTTATAAATAATATTCATCTTATAGTGCTTGCTACGTGCCAGACATTGTTCTAAAGCCTTTATGCAGACTCGTTTTGTCCTCATGACAATTATTTCTGTCATATACTGTTACTATCCACATTTTATAGATGAGGAAACTGAGGACATAATTTTGATACATATGAAGCAGAGGATACTTAACTTGCCTGAGGTCACCAAGCTCAGAACAACTTTCATTTTTGTCTTTATTTAACTACCTTAAAGCTGGTTCAAACCATCAAAATAACTTCCTCTGAGCAATAGAAGGTTGAAGAGTTAAAGCTGTGCAAGTTGGACATAAACGTTTAGAAGGCCTGACATGTTCTATGTTTATACTTTTTGGAGACCTGATTCAACCATGTAGAAACCTTGCTTCCTTATTAACAGAGACAGATGATTATACATGTGAGAAGATGACATCATGTCATCTTCTAGAGTACTGCTCTAGGTAGAGAGGCCTTTGGATAGTATGGTGAGAGACCCATACATCCCAGTATCCTAGCAAAACCTACCTTCCTTCTGTCTTTGCCAGTGTTTCACATATGTAAATTAGCCACCTTGGAGGTATTAGTTTGGATGAGTCCCTCAAGATTGAATCTCAGGTCAACATCACTTGGAAAAGAACTGCCTTTTGACTAAGTCAACCCACAAACCTAAGAAAGAATAAATGTTGATTTTTTTCAAACACAGGTTTGGGGGTGCTTTATTACACAGTGGAAATATATGAAAAAATGTGCACTTTTTTAAAAAAGACATTGGATATTGGTTGTAGAGAATTCAAACTGAGGGATTCCAAAGAATTAACAGATTTTAATCTAAATCAGAGAAACTTACTAGGAATCTTTACTTCCAGGTTTATTGTGATATAATTGATATATACCATTGTACAAATTTAATGTATACAATGTGATAATTTAATACACATATACATTGTAAAATGATTACCATGATAAGGTTTGTTAACATATCTATCACCTCATTACCTTTTTTTGTTTGTTTGCCTATTGTGTGTGAGGACATTTAGGACCTATTCTCTAAGTGACTGTTAAGTATACAATATAGTATTTTTAACTATAGTCATGGTGTTGTAGGCTTCCCAGGTGGTGCTGGTGGTAAAGAACCTGCTTGCCATTGCAAGAGGCATAAGAGACAGGAGTTTGATAAGAGACATAAGAGACAGGTCAGGAAGATCCCCTAGAGGAGGGCCTAGCAACACACTCCAGTATTCTTGCTTGGAGAATCCCCGTGGACACAGGAAACTGGGGAACAACAGTCCACAGGGTCACAAAGAATCAGACACGACTAAAGTGACCTAACATGCCTTTGTGGTGTTCTACATTGTATCCCCTGAACTTGTTCACTTTATAACTGGAGTTTTGTCCCCTTTGTCTAACATCTTCCGATTTCTTGCACCCCATTTTGGCCACCACTGGCAACCACCAATTTAATTTCTATTTTAATAAAGTTCAACTGTTTTAGATTCCACATTAAGCAAGATAATATAGTATTTGTCTTTGTTGACTTATTCAACTTAATATAAAGTCCCCAAGTTTCATTTATGTTGTAGAAAATGGGTAAGGAGGGGACATGACTGAGTGACTGAACTGAACTGAGGGATAAATTGGGAGATTTAGATGGATGTAAACACACTACTGCATATAAAATAGATAAATAAGAACCTGCACAGGGAGCTCTACTCAATACTCTGCAATGGCTTATGTGGGAAAAGAATCTAAAAAAATGGGTGGCTATATGTATATGTATAACTGATGCAGTTTTCTGTATACCTGAAAGCAATACAACATTGTAAATCAGCTATACTCCAATAAAAATTTAAGAAAAACTCACAAAAATGCTTTGGGATGGAAGGTTTTCTGGAAATTATATTTTTAATAATTTTAACTTTTCTACCCATTTTATTCTTACTGCTAGAAAATATTATTATTTTCAGACACGTTTATTCGAGAAAAACTTTCAAAATTTCTCATTTTTCTTAGATGTTTCATGGAACAATCATAGAAGAGCTAACCAATCACAGAGAATGGAGTCACTATAATGAAAATATAGTAGAAGATCAAAAAGATTTTGTTTTTGTGAAGTTCAGTGGCCTTCATTTAAAATCTATGGAAAGTCTTCAATCTTGTATCTCTCTTAGAATATGCATCTTCTCAAACAATTTTATTACAGATATTCGTCCACTTCAGAGTTGTATGAAATTAATCAAACTTGATCTCCATGGAAATCAGGTAAGCAATCACTTGTTTGCATATAAATGAAGCTGATATCTAATAATCTCTTAGGTTATCTGTATACAGTATTTCTCCCAGGTAGTCTTTTGTGTGAAATATAAACAATTCAGAACTAAATAAAAAATAAAAAAATATATAAACACAAATATAAGCAAACACTTAATTTAACCATTTCATAAACATTTTAAATACAAACATTTGTAATTTAAAATATGTAAACCAACAGTGTGTGATTTGGTTATTTTACTTCTTAAATCCATAGTCTTGATTAAGACTACTTCTTGACTGCTTAATTTTTTAAATGACGTATAGTTTACATAAAGCATTATATTGATTTCACGTATACAGCATAATGATTCAGCATTTGTGTATATTGCAAAATAATCACAGTAAGTCAAGTTAGCATCCTTCCCTAAAGTATTATAATTATAATTTTCATGATGAAAATTTTTATTATCTATTTTCTTAACGACTTCCAAATATATAATCCTGTATTATTAGCTATACTCATGCTGTTGAATATTATTGAATATATCCCCAGGACTCATTTATCTTATAACTGAAAATTTGTATCTTTTTATCACCTTCACATTTTCCCCACCTCCTCTGCCTCTGAATCACTGATACATTCTCTGTAACAGTTTGTTTTTTGTTTGTGTTTTGTTTTTTCAGATTCCACCTGAGTGAGATCACATGGTATTTGTTTTTCTCTCTGACTTATTTCATTTAGCGTAATGCCCTGAAAGTACACCATGTTGTTTCAAATGGCATGATTTTATTCTTTTTTTGTGAATCAATAATATTACACTGGATGTATATATCACATTTTCTTTACTTACTCTTCCATAGACAGCAGCAGACAGACATTTTGGTTGCTTTCATGTCTTGGCTATTATAATTAATGCTGCAGTGAACATGGGACTGTGTGTGTCTATTTGAGCTAGTATTTTCACTTCCTTGTAATAAATTTCCAAAAATAGAATTGCTGGGTCATATGGAAGCTTTACTTTGAATTTTTTGAGGAACCCCTGCTGTTTACCTAGTGACTGCACCAATTTACAATCCTCCAAACACTGCACAGGGTTCCCTGTTCTCCACATCCTTGCCAACACTTTATTTTTTGTCTTTTTGATAATAGCTATTCTCACAGGCATGAGAATGGTCCTGTGGTTTCAATGCATTTCCCTGATGATTGGTGTTGCTGAGTATCTTTTGATGTACCTGCTGGCCACTGGTATGTCTTATTTGGAAAAAACATTGTCTTAGATCCTCTGCCTCTTTTTTTCCTATTCTTGTATGAGTTCTTTATAGATTTTTGATGTTAGCCTCATCTCAGATGTGATTTGCAAATATTTTCCCCCATTCATAGGTTCCCTTTTCTTTTTATTGATGGTTTCCTTTATGTGCAGAAGCTTTTTAGTTTGACTTCATTTCACTGTATTCAGTTTTGAGTTTTTTGCCTTTACTTTTGGTGTCAAATTGAGAAAAACTATTGCCAAGACCCATACCAAGGTGCTTACCACCAGTGTTTTCTTCTAGGAATTATATGGTTTCAGATTGTGCCTTCAAGTCTTTAATCCACGTTGAGTTTACTTTTGTGTATAGCATAAGATAGTGGTCAAATTTCATTCTTTCACATGTGCTTGTCCTGTTTTTCCAACACAATTTATTGAAGAAACTGCTCTTTTCCTAGTGTATGCTCTTGACTCCTTTTTTGTAAATAAATTGATCTTTACTGTAAATCCATTTTGTAAATCAATGTGTGGGTTTATTCATGGGATGTGTTTCTGTTCCACTGACCTGTTTTTTTTTAAATGCCAATATCATTCTGTTTTTTTTTTTTTTACTGTACTTTATATTATGCTTTGAATTCAGGAAGTGTGAAGGTGCCAAATTCATTCTTTCTCAAGGTTTTTGCCTATTTGAGTGTTTTTTAGTTTTGTACAAATATTAGGGTTATTTGTTCTATTTATATTAAAAGTGCCACTGGAATTTTGGCATGGCTTTTGTTGAATCTGTAGGTTGCTTTGGGTAGTATAAATGTTATAACAGCATCAATTCTTACAGCCCACAAGGATAGAATATCTTTGTTTATTTGTATTCTTCAATTACTTTTCAATATGTCTTATAATTTTCAGTGTATATACATATCTTTCACCTCATTGGTTAAATTTATTTATAAGTATTTTTACTATTTTGATGTAATTGTGAATGAGATTATTTTATTAGTTTCCCTTTCCAATATTTAATAGCTCAGGCATAGAAAGACAGCATAACTTTGTGTATTGATTTTGTATTCTGAAATGTTAATTGATTTTGTTTATTCTAACAGTTATTTTCTGTATTACTTAGGGTTTTCTGTATACAGGCATACTATATTTTAGAGGGTATCACTTTATTGCACTTCTCAAGTACTACATTTTTTACAAATTTAAGATTTGTGGAAATCCTACATTATCAGATGATGATTAGCAATTTCTAGCAATAAAGTATTTTTTACATCAGATGTATACTTTGATTTTTTTCTAGACATAATGTTATTGCACACTTAGTAGACTAATACAGTGTAAACAATTTTAATATGCAATGGGAAACCAAAAAAAAAGTCCTTCATATTGCAGTGTTTGCTATATTGCAGTAGTCTGAAACCAAATGCACAAAATCTCTGAGATGTGAATGTAGGTCGTTTAATTCACAAAAAGTGACAGTTTTACTTTTTCCTTTCCAATTAGGATGCCTTTGTTTCTTCTTCTTGCCTAATTGCTTTGACTAGGACTTCTAGCTCCCAGTGCCATGTTGAATGAAAATGCAAAACTGGGCATCCTTTTCTTATTCTTGCTGTTAGAGGAAAAGATTTTATCTTTTTACCATTGAGAATGATGTTAGTTGTAAGCTTGTCATATATGGCCTTTACTATGTGGAGGTACATTCCTTCTATACTCTTCATTGAGAGTTTTAACTATAACTGGATGTTGAATTTTGGCAAATACCTTACCTGTATCTATTGAGATGACTATATGATTTTTTATCCTTCATTTGTGTTAATGTGGAGTATCACATTGATTGATTTGACTCCTTAAGTTTTTCATGTAAGGGGAATATTTTAGAAAAGATTAAAAAGTCTACTTATTACAAAGGAATTTTTATTGAATGGATTATATGTTTGTTTATTTAATTACACTAGTAATTACAGATACCTAATGTATTTTAGTTTATCCCAGTCATCCTTTGGATAATTAGAAATTCCATTTTTGTTTACTAATGAGAAATTTGCTATTTGATTTGAATATTATAGAAGATGTTTAAAGTTTTTCCTTTTTTCCATATAATTCAGGGATAATTGGTATTTGTATTTAAGGTATTACTATTATTGCTTCAGATAAAGAGTCTACCAGATACCAAATTTTGGAGTGGACTGAAGAATCTAAAACTTCTCTATCTACATGACAATGGGTTTGCAAAGTTAAAGAACGTATGTATGTTATCTGCCTGTCCGAGCCTCATTGCCCTCACTATGTTTGATTGTCCAGTAAGCCTTAAAAAAGGATATAGACATGTTCTTGTCAACAGTATATGGACTCTGAAAGCATTGGATCATCATGTAATTTCTGATGAAGAAATAATTCAAAACTGGCATCTTCCTGAAAGATTCAAGACATATAACCACCGACTTCTCTTTAATTTCTGCTCTGCTTTGAAAAAGGTAGTTGGCTTCATTTGCATTTCATTTTAAATAAATGAAGTAAAACCTTAACTTCTAATTTCTATTACCTAAATTGTATAAATCAGTACCTTTATCACTTACATGAAATATCAGAAACTAGTGAATATATTATCATACTAATGTCTTATAACAAAATTTATAAAAGCTTATGTGCCTGCTGGTAAAAATTACTGATCATGGGATTATCAAATTGTGGAGAAACAAGTATTTAACATTTTGAGGGGTCTCCATTATGTTTAATAGCTTTAAGAAGGTATAGCTTACATGCTATAAAATTTACCCATTTTACATGTATGAGTCCATAATTGATAAATTTGCAGTGCTGTATAACTGTCTTCACAATCCAGTGTTAGAAATTTCCACCACTCCCAAAATTCTCCTTCTTCCCATTTGCAATTCCCAATATCTGGGCCTGTTATTGAGGATCCCAGAAACTTTTTGTTTATATAGTTATATCCATAGATATTTATGTACTAAAAATTAAAAGAGAATTTTCAAATAAATACTTAAGTCATTTGAAATAACAAACCCATTTTATATCAACATAAACACATTTTATGAAAAAATATACTTTCCAAAATAAAAATAATTAGAAGAATGACATTGTTTTACATTTTTGTACATATCTTCAATATCTGTCTTAATTAAATACAGATTTTTCCATATCTACTTCTGCATTTAAACTATTGTGATATGTTGTTTTGACTGAAGTAAATAAAGAAAATATGTCCTCATACAGATATGTAATTAGAAAAAGAAGGCCCTCATGGGTCATTGAAGGGTCTTGGGGCCTCCCAAGGATTCTAAAATCACATTTTAAGATTTACTGAATTATAAGAAAAAAACATTCTATCGAATCATGTCAGTCATAATTCTAAAAAGAAAGTAGTTAAATTGAACATCCCCTGTCTGTGTTAAAATACTAAATGAGAATTAATCTAACAACTTAATTCTTTTACTCAGTAACCTAAATGCCAAAGGATTCTATATCTGGAATCCACAGGATTTTCTTTTTTTTTTTCTTAAGTAAAAGATCATCATATAGTACAGTTGGTTTTAAACATGGCTGCTCATTAGAAACACATCTGGAGCTTTTGAGAAAAATATTAATACCTGGGCATTTGTATTTTTCAAAAAATTCCAAGATAATTCTGATATGCATCTGGATTTTAAAAAGTGATTACAGGATTTGTATTAAATGGTAGATTTAGTGACATAGAATTCTATTATTTTCTGTTTATCAATCATGATACAATGGTATTAAGCAAATAATAGTTATATAATAACAATAGTAAAATGTTTATCAGTTTTCTTAATAGCCAGATAGAAAATAAAAGATAATTATATTTGCAAGCCATAATGGAAACATGATTAACCTAACAATATAAAATAATTGCATACAATTTGGGGGGGTCTCTTGGAGTGGTTGGTAAGTGGGAATGCATACATACACATGTTTTCATCTGCCCAGCCAGTCTGTGTCTTTGGGTTTATACATTTAATCCACTTACATTTAAGGTGATTATCAATATATATAATCCTATTACCATTTTCTAAATTTTGGGGGGTTTATTTTTTGTAAGTCTTTTCCTTCTCTTGTGTTTCTTGTTTAGAGAAGTTCCTTTAGCTTTTGTTATAAAGCTGGTTTGGTGGTGCTGAATCTCTTAACTTTTGCCTGTTTGTATAGCTTTTGATTTCTCTATTAAATCTGAGCAAGAGTCTTGCTGGGTAGAGTATTCTTAGTTGTAGGTTCTTTCCTTTCATCATTTTAAATATCCTGACCTCCTCTGATTTGTAGAGTTTCTGTTGAGAAATCAACTGAAAACGTTATGGAAATTCCTTGTATGTTACTTGTCATTTTTCCCTTGTTGCTTTTGACATTTTTGTATTTATCTTTAATTCTCATAATTTTGATTACTATGTCTCAGTGTGTTCCTCCTTGGGTTTATCCTGCATGGGACTCTCTGCACTTCTTGGACTTGGTTGACTATTTCCTTCCCCATTTTTAGGGAAGTTTTCAGCTATACTTCTTCAAATATTTTCTCAGGTCCTTTCTCTCTTTTCCTTCTGGGACCCCTATAATGTGAATGTTGGTGCATCTAGTGTTGTCCCAGAGGTTCCGAAAGAATTGATGCTTTCTAAACTGTGGTGCTGAAGAAGACTCTTGAGAGTCCCTTGGATCACAAGGAGATCAAACCAGTCAATCCTAAAGGAAATCAACCCTGACTACTTATTGGAAGGACTGATGCTGAAGTTCTGATACTTCGGCCACCTGATGCAAAGAGCCAGCTCTTTGGAAAAGACCCTGATGCTGGGAAAGATTAAGGACAGGAGGAGAAGGGGATGACAGAGGATGAGAGGTTGGATGGCATTGCTGATTCAGTGGACATGATATTGAACAAACTCTGGGAGATATGGAGGACAGGGAAGCCTGGTATGCTGTAGTCCAGGGGTTGCAGTCAGACACAACTGAGTGAAACAACAAGGAATCAATTACAAGGGAAAACAGGAAAATTCACAATGATGTGGAGATTAAAAAACTTAACAACAACCAATATATTGAAAAAAAAATCTTAGAATGACAACTAATAGGATATAGTAAAAGCTGTTTTTTATAGGGCATTTTACTGTAATAGATGCCTACATTAAAAAAAAAAAGAAATGAACAATCTAACTTTACACCCCAAGGAACTAGAAAAAGAAGAACAAATTAAACCATATTTTGTGGGAAGAAGGAAATACCAGAAATAAATGAAATAGAGATTAAAAAGACTACAGAAAAGATAAATGAAACCAAGAGATTTATTTTTTGAAAAGATAAACAAAATAGACAAACTCTTTGCTATACTTGAGAGAGAGGATCCAAGGAAGTAAGATTAGAAAGAAAGAGGAGACATCACAGTTGATACCACACAAATACAGAAGATTATGAGAGACTGCTATAAGTAATTGTATGCCAACAGACAACCTAGAAATGGATACATTCCTAGAAGCATACAACTTACTAAGACTAAATCATGAAGAAATAAAAAAAAATTAAGGCACTAATTACTAGCAGGGAGATTGAATCAGTAATCAAAAGTCTCCTAACATAGAAAAATTTAGAACCAGATGGCTTCACTGGCAAATTCTACCAAATATTTAAGGAGAAACTAATACCAATTTTTCTCATACTTTTCAAAATGTAATAGAATCTAAAGGAACACTTAGCTAAAACCAAAACTATATGAGGATACTAGAAGAAAAGAAAATTACAGATCAATATCCATGATGAATATGGATGCAAAGCCCTCGACAAAATGTTAGCAAACTGAGTTCACTAATATATTAAAAAGATCATACATCATGATGAGGTGGGATTTATCCCTGGGATTAAAATATCTCTAGTGAATATAAGCACAAAAATCTTAAACAAAACCTTAGCAAATATAATTTAGCATACATAAGAAGAATTATATACCATGTGCAAGTAGAACTTGTTTCAGGGATACACAGCTGGTTCAATATTTGAAAATGAATTAATGTAATTTCCCATATCAAAAGACTCAAGAATGTTTTCTTCCTAAGACTGGGAACAAAACAGATGGCTGTTCTTATTTCTCTTGTCAACATGCTGCTGGTAAGCTGAGGTGGTGCAATAAAGTGAGAAAAGGAAATAAAGAAACATGCAGATGAGAAAAGAAGAAATAAATTATTGGCAGATGAAATGATCACCTGTGTGGAAAATGCCACAGACTCTACCAAAAAATTTCTTTAAACTAAAAAATGAGCTTAGCAGGGCTGCAGGGTGTTAGCTAAACAAAAATCAACCCTATTTCTGTGTACTAATAGTGAGTACATGGTCACCTAAGTTAAATACATATTGTCATTTATAATCACTCAAAAATGAAATACTAAGATGTAAATCTAACAATATGAACAGAACTTGATGGAGAAAATATAGCTTTTTCAATAAATGTTACTTGGAACAGTTGGACATACATAGACAGACACACACACAAGAGATGAACTTCCTTAAGTTTTACAACTCAAAAAAATTAACTCAAATTGGATCTTGGAGTTAAATGTAAAAACTTATTTTAGAAAAAATAAAATTGAGACAATTTTAGGATCTAGGATGAGGCAAAGACAGACCTGATACTAAAAGCACAATCTTTAAAAAGAAAAAATGGTAAAGTGAACTTCATCAATTTTTTAAAATAGTCTGTAAAAGACCCTATTAAGTGAATGAAGAGATAAGCTCAGAGTCAGGGAAAGTATTTGGAAGTGAACTTTTAAAAATGATAATAGGGGCGGTCCTAAGATGACAGAGGAATAGGATGGGGAGACCACTTTCTCCTCCACACATTCTCGAAAGAACATTTGAACACTGAGCAAATTCCACAAAAAACTTCTGAATTCTGGCCGAGGACATCAGGCATCCAGAAAGGCATCCCATTGTCTTCAAAAGGAGATGGAGAAGTCTTGAGGTTACTGTAAGAATAAGACTGAAATTCAGAGGCAGGAGGCTTAAGTTCAAAAGCTGAGAACACCAGAGAACTCCTGACTCCAGGGAACATTAATTGATAAGAGCTCATCCAAAAGCCTCCATACCTACACTGAAACCAAGCACCACCCAAGAGCGAACAAGTTCCAGAGCAAAACATACCACACAAATTCTCCAGCAACAAAGGAACATAGCCCTGAGCTTCAATATACAGGCTGCCTAAACTCACACCAAACCCACTGGCATCTCAAAACTCACTACTGGACACTTCATTGCACTCCAGAGAGAAGAAATCCAGCTCCACCTACCAGAACATTGACACAAGCTTCCCTAACCAGGAAACCTTGATGAACCACCCATCCAACCCCACCCACAGTGAGGAACTTCCACAATAAAAAAGAACCACAAACTGCTAGAATACATAAAGGCCACCCCAAACACAACAATATAAACAAGATGGAAAGGCAGAGAAATACCCAGCAGGTAAAGAAAT